TTTCAAGATCATAATTGATAAGTTTATGAAAATAATTATTTAAATATTATAAAAAGATATGAAACTTATATGGTAAGTTGTTAATTCGTTCCTACGCAGCTTTCTATTGAATGATGCAGAGTTATGCAAACAGTGGTGCTTTAGGAATTCCAACAATCAACATGTGTTTTCTTCCACTAGCTTGGTCTCCTCGTAGCTTTTTCTCTTGTGCTTCTTTACTTGGAGATCTTTCCTCTGCTTTGATATATCCTTTTGCTCTTCTTAATAAATCATTAAAGTTGGTTGGTTCCCATTTATTTAGAGACCTATAGAGGCTCGAATCTTTTTAGTCATCCATCAAAGCATGCATTGTTACGCTTTGGTTTAACTTTTCAATTTTCACAGCTTCATTATGAAATCTTACTATGTAGACTCTTAATGATTCGTCTATTTTTTTTGTTTGATTGTCAACAAGTGATGATTGGTTTTCTGGGGAGTCCAAGCTTGCGCTACTTTCTTGAAGGTTGTAAGAAATTGCTTGCATAACAAAGCATCAGAAGTTCCATGATTTTGTGGTGCACCTTTTCTTCCATTTGTTTGTGTGTTTGTCCGCATGTCTCTTTCTTGGATTTTGTACTTAGTGAAAGTAGAGGATGGCTACAGATATGAATCAGTAGCTGGCTTTGTTAGTCTTGAAGGTGCATAGCTTCCATTGTCATAATTACTCTTTCCACACACTGAATCCTCTGCCCTTGTGTTTTTGGATGACGAAATCCTCTACATTCTCTCCTATTTCCTCAGATTTTGTGTTGGAGTATTTGATGTGTTCATCAAGGATGCTATGGCCCTTTCCATTGTCTTCAAGCTTTGCCTTGTTTTCTCCATATCTTATGCAATCCTTGGCACTTGTGATGCTATTGACAGAGCTTTTGGTTTAGATCTGCCAGCATTATCGTTGGAATTTGCTCTTGATGAAGAAGAGGTGCTCATTCTTCTTTTATTTCCAAGATTTTGAATGTCGTTAAGAGGTGTTGATGAGTTTCCCAAATTCACCATGTGGTATTTGTGGGGAAACAAGAACTTGGTCCCACGGTGGGTGCCAAATGTTAACACTAAAAAATAGAATATATGGTGTGGAACTGGGATCTTCATTGATAGAGAGAGTTTACAATGAAGAGAGAATGGTGATGGAAAAATAATCTACCTCTTTAGGTTAATCCTTGAGGTATTTATAGGATATTTACATAAAGTTATCTTAGAAATATAACTCTATTTGATTGGTGTTTGGGTATTTTAATTCTAGTGAGTTTTATCCTATCTAATCTTGATATGACTATATCTATAATATCTCTATGTGTACTAATTTTTATATGACTGAATTTAGGGTATAACAATATAAAATCAATTAATTTAATTATATTAATAAATTATAATGTGAATATAATCATA